TGAGCAGGAATATATTATTGCCTTACCAACCGGGTCAAACGTAACATTATGAAACCCATTGACGTCCTCGCAACTTCTTGAAGTTGTCACTTCAAAAAACGATGCCTCGTTGACCCTCTGCATGCACAGTAAACTTATATTGCAAATAGGTTTTTAAAATTCTTATATTAAAAGTCTAGAGTCATTATATTAAATTCTTATTTTAAAATTCTTATATTTAAAGTCTAAATTCATTAGCTGCGTATCGAAAAGTGTCCAAAACCTGCACCAGACATCTTCGCAAAAAGAGATGCGTGTAGTGAATGTGAGAAGCATTTATTCAGCTTGGATGTTGTAGTCACGATCGACCGTGTTTTGAGCGAATTTTATGAATGAACAAACTCAAAACAATAGACAGAGAAGCAGTTTCTTGAAAATTTTTATTCAAAATCCAAAAAGTTAATCCTTTAAAGCAATTCGGAAAACACTATCTGGATCGTGGATCCGTTCACGCAAGTGAAATCGGCTGAGCACATGGCAAAATTCAACACAAAATCCATCTCAAATCGGGGCTCATTTTGTAATTTTTCTTTACCGCTGAAGAGAAAAATTTATAAAACGTCTATGAAACATTTAAAAATACATAAATTCCCTTTCAAAAACGTAATTGTTTTGGCCATAGAGTGCAAAATGTACCTGAAAATTCAGCAATAACTTCACTGCCTTTGTTGCATTTCAAGGCAGACCATGCGCTCCGTCGTGACGAAAACAAGGTTGAATTCCTCGAAGGACGATTTCTTGATGAAAAGCTTCCCTTCCTCCACAAAAAGAAAGCTGAGCATTCTTTTGAACTTTCTCTTTCCATTTTTTGTCTTTTAACGGTGTATTTTTAACCCTGAAATGCAGAAATCTTGTCTTAAAACAGCTGCATGGTGATCGCGCGGCAGCCATTTTGTTGAAAATGGCTATCTGTCATTAAGGTTTCCAAGTATGGTAAAAGTGAATATTCACGAGCATTGAACGCGAGTTACACGTTTCAACCCCTTATGAGTTTCTGATATAACTTATATATATTTTTATAGCTCTTGTAGGGACAGTTCTTCAAAAGGAATTGTGATTCATTCCTATGGAGGCCCGTTCTGGTTAAAATTAATATAATAAAATGGCATCCAATATCATAAGTGACATTTTTGGCCAGTGCAGCATTTATTATGGACCCGTTGTGTATTTTTGTCATCACTACACAGGATTTCCTCCCTGAAAATGTTTCGCCTTGGCATTCTCTTTGAAAGCACTCCTCCACTTTAAAGTTTTCCGAATGGTCGCCCAAGGAAGTCAAAGACTCGAATCAGTCCGCTTCAACTGCAAGGCCCTCAAAGCATTGTAGGCCCAAAAATAAATTCGTGATACCGCGAAAAATAATTATCAGCACGATGAAAAAATAATTCTCAATACTAGTATTAAAAATAATTCGCAGTACCACTAAAAAAATAATTTGTGATACGCATGAAAAATTTATTCATATAACAACATAAAAAAAAGTAAACAGCCTTAATAAAAATAATTCATGCAGCTAAAAAAATTAACAACACACTAAAAAAATCCTGTGTAGTGATGACAAAAATACACAACGGGTCCATAATAAATGCTGCACTGGCCAAAAAAGTCACTTGTGATGCCATTTTATTATATTAATTTTGACTAGAACGGGCCTCCATACATTCCTGTATTTGAAACATTCTATACAAAAGAACATTCAACTTAGTCTTTCAGGCTTATTTATGAACAGGTCATATAAATAAAGTAACGTGAGACTATAATTTGCGTTTCTAAATAAAAAACTTTTTCACCGGTTTCATCGATAAATTTAGGTTAAACAGCCAAGCTTTACCTGTAAAAACTTCCAAATCAAATTTCTTCGCCTTCCTCGTGTATTTCGGGAACTGCTCTTCGATTATTTGTGAAATTTTCCATATTTTTAGTCAACGATAACTGGTTATGAAGAATTAGCGGGGGATTTTGAGCCAATCAGAAAGGAAGAAATATTTTGAACAAGAGATTAGTTGGCGCCAATGCCGCAAAGGTTATTTTTGTTTATTGAATTCCCGTGATCGCGCGGTCTACTCACACGTGAACGTGACATGTTTCGCCGCCAAACATTCGAAGTTTGACAGCCGTGATAGCAAAGTTGTTAATTTGTTTTTTTATCAGTGCGTTCAGCTCATTATGTATGAAAGACTTTCATAGGACTGCATTATTGGAGTCAAAATTCCACTTTGAGATTAAAAGATTGATATTTTTTAACGGTCGCCTCATTCGAAGTAACGAATTTGATTTCTGACACACCATAAACCAAAGGCAAAGTTTACATATGCATGTTTGTATATATTATAAAGAGCATACCTGTAATGACAAGTTCTTGATGTGCTTGGTTTTAGTGTCGAAGAAGATTAACAAAAGCAAAAATAGAGAGACAGAGACCCATTTGTAGGAATTTAGCAGTTCCGGCGGGGAACCCTGGAGTCATAGAGGAGTTTGTATGTGTCGAGACGACGTCCGCTGTGCCCTTTAGCAGCCATATTATAAAATCACTGGGGAATTTCGTAGGTATTAATTTTGTTTCGTTATTTATGTAAGATATTTATCAGGCAAGCCGCATAAACGTATCCAAACAACTGACCAAGAAACGCCTCCGGCTCACCACAGTCAGTCAGGCAGTCGTACTAAGATATATTCCACCCGTCTAATATGAGGGACCAAATTGTTCTAGATATCAGTTATTTTGATCGTACATGAAAGTTGACCAAAAAATAACATTTGCCAACATGTTACGGCAGAATGTAATTTCTTTCTTGCTACTGGATAAAACCACAAACATATCGATTAAGACTTTTTATCTATGACAGGGTTTATGACACTGAGTTGCTTTGAACATTCGCTCAAACAACAGTTGAAGATAGAGGTGAACCTACTGGTAAACCGTCAGGTACAGCTGAAACAGGAATGCAAACCACGTTCGCAAAACAATCTGTATATCGCCAGAAACGTTACAGACCCTTTTACAAGAGTTCAAACAACTTACATATTTTTTTGGTGTCTTCAATATCCAACATAGAAGCGGCTTCACGGTAGCAAAAGCACGTGACTCATACAGCTATTTCTAGGAAGGTTGTCAGATAAAGTGCACGCGACAATTCCGAAAGGTATTGTGGGTGGGTTTGAGTTCACTGTTTTTTAAAGAAATTTGAACGATTGGTATGGGAGGCCATGGACATATGTCTGCGACTGCTAAAGGAGAGCAACAAAAGTAGGTTCGACAGCTACAGTGTCAGGAACAGTGTATTTAGCATATCCCGTATTACCTTTCGGGATTGCCGCGTGCATATTTTATCCGACAACCTTTCTCGAAATAGCTGTATACAGATACTCAGATACAGTAAAACCTCGGTAACTCGAATTCTCAAGGGAAAAGAAAAACAGTTCATGTTATCGGATCAATTGAATATTCATTTTGCCATGTTAATAACCAATTGTTTACTGATTTTTTAGCACTTCCGTATACAGTACAGTGCAAATTTAACTTAACTCATCAGAAACTGTTACACATGATCCGTTATGACAATAAATGTCAAATTCGCGAACTGATTGTCGCACTAATTAAAATCAAATTGCTGTAGTGTTAGTTTTAAAAGCTAATGGGATAGTATAGGTGGTGAGTTGCAAGAACCAGAATTCAAGTTATCGGGGTGAATTTTGAGTAAGCGAAACGAAAGTTAGTTCGAGTTTGCGGGAATTCGAGTTATCCGAGTTCGAGTTAGGGCGATTTTCGATTTTCGGGTTTTCTTTGGCGAGAAAACGAAGAGGCCATGTTTTGATCTTTTCATCCATGGCTGATAAAACAAATATAATGAACACTTATCGAAACCATTTTTCAAGGTCATACGAAAATCGCTCTAACCAATGCAAGTGAAAATGATTGAAAAGTGGGGTGAAATGCAAGTGAAATGGGATTTTCACTTAGTTCGATCGAGTTACCGGGGTTCTACTGTACGTATTCATTGTTTGGCTGTCATATGATTTCCGGTCGCGTGATGTTCTCAAAAGGTGTAGGGCGCAACTAAAAGAATAAAACCATCCGCAACGGTTGCATTATAAGACAGTTCTGCTCACTGGGTATTTGCTATGACTTCTCTTGCTCAGTCAACTGCTATTAAACTCAGTGATTCTTAAACCTTTTTCCTGCAGACCAATATTACTGTTACTCCACATGCCCTTTCGTGTTGTTCTTAAAGGAGAAATTCAGTGAGTGGCTTTTTATTGTACTTCACTGCATTGTGTGCGTCTCGCCGTCTTCCGTTGAACCAACTGTGGAGGAGTACTTGATTCTCATCCTCTTCTGTGGCATGACACTCAACGAATACCAACAATACAAAAAATCACCTGTGAAGTATTTCAAGTAAGATAGCTAGCAAACGTTACCATCATTATTAATTTATTCGTAGTTTATATAATTATGCACTGCTGACACTGTCTTAATTTGATCGGCTACGGGCATACTGCTAATTCCAGCTGGTGCTAGTTTCCTCAGACAATAGCTTTTATTCCCATAGAAGAAACGTCATTCTTGCTCACAATAGTTTTCGAAAATGCGAAGGTGATGTCACTTTGCTGATATAAAGAATCCAAAGCTAGAGTGTTGGTCCTTAAAGATCTTTCAACAATACTTTGCGAAAGTTAAGATACTTTCGCTTCTTAATATGGACTAAAAGAAAATTTGTTAAAATGCTCTGCAAGGTTACCGAGTGTGCGAAAGTTCACAAAAATTGCAGGCTTAAAACGTTGTATGCAAGTTGATGTGTCGTTGAATGTTTGTTTTTTGTGTGCGTTTGGATTGACAGCGCTCAAACACAATTCGGTCAGTTTCCGTGTGATGTTGTGAATTATAAAGGCCTTGGAGTTATCCGCCTCTACCTTTTCGTAAGGCTTACATTCTCTTCTCTAAACACGTGAGCAATCCGTTTAAGGCACAGCACATCGCTGATATCCTCCATAAATCTAGGTATCTTTTAAAAACTGAATTGAATCCATTGTATGATTATAATTCTTCTGGACGGTATGTACCGATGCTATTTCGGATGTATCATCTCAAGCAAAGTAATGTAAAATTGAATGGAATACGACAGTGAATAAGAGAGAAAGGGCTCATCTGTACAAAACAAAAACTGGGAAAAGTCAATGCAATGTTAAAAAAATGAAACTGCACATATTTATGACTGGAAGGGACCAAATATCGTGAATACTCTGTAAGCTTTTGTTGCCCATTTTTATTGTATGTGCTTTTTATGAAGGGTTGTACTTAATAATAATTGCGGGGCTCCAACGAGCGGTTCCCCATTACTAAGAAAATTTGGTAATCTATCCATCCGAGAAAATTTGGTTACGACGTCAGCGTACGCCAGCCCGCTCGGACGTCCACCACATGTAAGCCGATGTCAAGTGTTACATTAGATCTTGCACAAATTGACACTAGCCAGGCTGTTAAATAAGCTGTCCGTATGAAGATGAATTGACAGCTGTCAAAATCAGGCATCCACTGACGAATATCACATGGCTATCTCGCGGGCTCAGAAGAAAGACCGGTCGTTTTGCGCCTACATGTAAGATGATGTAATATGTCACACTTAATAACAATCATAAAAATGAAACTGCTCTTTCACCGGGCAGGGTTGTCAGTCGGCTATCAGTAGTTTAAAGTTATATGCGCAAACCAAATCAAGGTCAATTGACAGCTGTCAAAATGGGACATCTGCAGACCACTAGCACAAAACTAATTATGTGGGCTCGGTTACACGACCCATCATTTCGCCCCCACAACAAGCCGGAGTGACATGTCTTACTCACACTAAGCTGTCATATTCGCAGTCCGTTTATTCCAATATTCGCCATCCTTATGAAGGTCAATTGACAGCTGTCAAACTAGAGCATTCACTGACTATCATCGCCCGACTGCATCGCGGCCTCATTTTTCTACCCGTTGAGGTCACGTATTTTTTGGAATTTTTCCGCTGATATCAAATGTTCAATTCTGTATTTTTAGAGCGGGAAACTCACATCAGGCGACACATCAGTTTACTTGTATGCTTGGTTTGTGAATAATCTAAATGACTGAAAGAGTATATTTATTGTCATTTAAAACGTTGGTCCCGTCAGGAGTATGTTCTCGTTCTAATGAACAAATTATTTGACGAGGAAAGGGCAACGAAAATTACACAGAAGATCTCGGAAAACAGCAGCAAACTTTCACGTGGTTTCACAGAGCGGCGCCGGCCATTAAACAACCGAAAAACAACACATTACGGGACGAAAACAGATAGCATATTTGAGTTTCAGCCGTGAAATTCATTATTACATCAGTCAGTAATGGCAGTTTAATGCTTATGGATACTTAAAGCCGCATAAAAGCAGAGGATTTATTAGTTTGTTCTTGTACATGGACGGCTTCGTTCATTTATCACTGTGACTATTGCAATAAAATTTTACTTTTGATTTTTATCCTCTTCGGTTATGCTAGGTTTCCAAAGTCTTCTTTGTTTGAATTCTCTGTTTCTTTCTCGGTTTTGTTTTCTTCGTAATCGCCTTTCTATGTTTTTTCTTGTGTTATAGAAACGCGTGAAGCTGGAATTTTGTCCCGCAACTATTACGGGGGGTGACAGCTCTAACAAGGGCTGTTTCGGGAGAAAAACAAATTTATTCCGGGAATCTGGAGATTTTGCCGGAAATCGGGAAACCTGGGAAATTTTTCTGGAAATATGAGATATTTTCGGGACATTGAGCAAAGACTTGATATTACATGTTATCAAACAATATATATGCAGTGATATGCACCCAGTGTATGCGCTGTATTCTATGTATTTTGACTCCTGAAAACGGCTGATCTCCCCATGATATGAAAAGACCAATCAGCAACGTTTCCAACTAAAATAGCATGAAGTTCGAGTGCGATTGACCGCGTGCAATCCCCAGCGTATTGACACAAGAACCGTACCGGTGCAAGGCACATACTATCAGCTCACACTAGGTCCCATCATTCATTAGTTCAGGGGTATTTTTACGCTGCACGTTAACGAGTTTTAAGAGCACATTCCACTAATTGCCTACTGGAAAACTTGAAAGAAGTACGTAAGAAGTATGTAAGAAAAAAACGAAACGCATTCATGAACCTTGTTAAACACAAATGAGGCCATAAATAGTAGTTATATCTGTGAAGACTCTTTAATCATCCTGATCTCGTCGGGGTCCGCTTCCGATTTTGCTCGAAAATCCCGAATTCTCGATCAGTATGCGTTTGGGAGAGGAAAATTTCAGATTTCGACTGTTGTTCTGAAATTTTCAAATGAATTCTTATGATACTCATACAATGACACCACACAGAGTATACTTAGGTGAAAGTGATATCCAGAGCAATTTCAAAAACCGCACAACTTGTCTAAAATAAAATTGACTACTTCTACGCGAAGTCACGCCAATAAAAATAAGCATAAAAAGGACAATCGATTTAGAGAACATTTTGGACAGAATTTGTCCTCTCAGAACACTAGAAATGGCGTTTCCGAGCTCCAAGATTTCAAAATTTTCTGGGGGAGTATGCCCCCAGACCTCTTAGTGGTTGGCCCCTTCATTGCTCGCCTGATTTAGGGGCGATTAAAAAACAAAAAAACACGAGTTTGACAGTCTTTCTCTTTTAACATGATACCCTCTAAACGAAAAAATAACTAAGGTTAGATAATTAACAAGTTACATAATTAACAAGAAGCTGCAAAAAATCTCTAATCAAAATTTTAATTTTAATTGTTAAAACAATTTTGGGAGGTTAAACATTTATGGGGAAAGTTATTCATAGGACTGCCCAAACAGCCTTTGTTAGAGTTGTCACCCCCCGTAACTATTGTTAAGTTTATCTGTTTGCCGAAACGAAAAAGTTTCGTAGCTCTAGCGAACGATTGTTCGAGATTATAGTATTTGAGGCTTTTAATTGCTTTACTCATTATCGGCGTTTTGTTTCTTACGCTTACCTGACAGTGTAATGGTAAGAGGCTCTTACTATTACACTGTCAGGTCAAGTGCTCAAATCGCGCTGAAACTTCGCAAAAACAAAGACAACGACACCACGGAACAATCTTTTACACTTTACTGATAAATTTTATCGCTTTTAGTTCATTCTTGTCATCTAAGTTTTATTTCCCATACAAACTCACATATTACGCTTGGGCCACCTGTAAATATTGATCACAACTCTCCCAATCTAGGGAAAGAACTCAGAAAACAACATCCAAACATGCTCTCCAATTATTCAAGAAGAGGCATAATAAGCCAATAGAATAGATTGAGACCGCAATTTTTGCCTTTAAAATGAGTATGAGTTTTGAACGTCGTAGTGATTTAGCAACACAACGGTAACGTCAGTTGACGACAGCGCGCGCAAATTGAGAACCGGAAGTCACGTTTAGTCCTCTCCACGCGCTTTCCCGTCGTCAGCTGACGTTCCTGTTCTGTTGCTAAATGTGCAGTTTTCTGATTAAAACGTTTTTTTTTTCAAAATTGTGATTGCGTGATCAGCGTGTGCAACCACACAAAATTGATGTAAACAAATAGCATAAATGAAAAACGACTTTTAAACAATTTTTACCTTTTATACTGTTAACTAGCTATTTTCTGTTGGATTGTAATGTTGCTTTGAATAAATTTAGTTTTGCCTCCTAAAATTAACATTTCAATCAACTGTTCTGTCCTTTGTTTGAACAATATTTCAGCCTTCTTCGTTTTCTATTCAAAACCCAGTAAGATGCAATAATATAATACGGCGATCAATTCGAAACTTTAATGGTCCACAACCTCAGTAAGATTCCTCCCGCCCCACAAAGGGGGCTGTTTAAATTTTTCAGGTAAAGCTGAGTCCACTTTCAGGTTCGGTATAACAGAAGACTTTGAGCTCGATGTCCTCGATGACCAGAGATTCTATTCATTTTAGATGTGTTTGCGGGATATTTCATTCTTAATCCACTGAAACCCTTCGTCAAAAGGTAAATGGAAGGCTCCAAAAGTCAAGTAGGGATTTGAGTATTTCTTTGTCATGGCTTAAGTTGATAAGTTTAAAGTTTGTTGCTTTTATTAGAAGTATATATATCGAAGCTTCGCTTTTAGCCCTGGCTATATCTATATATTATTAATAATAACAATGATAATGGCGATGATGATAATAATTGTAATAATAGTAATAATAATTATGATTATTATAATAATAACAATCTTTATTCGATAGATAAAGACCATTGAAAGGTACAAACATCACATTCATCTCTGGGGAATGATGCAATGAATAAGAAAACATTAATTAAACTGAATCATATTACTAAATTTTATTTAAAGTATAGCCTACTTTCAAAGTAATTCTTGAAGAGCTCAGCGTTAATCAAAGAAATTTGATATGTTTTTCTACGAAGCCACTTAGATGAATACTTTACAGTCGGTGAAGTGGAATTCAAGCGTACTGTTCATAAGCCTTTCATCACACTTTCTTAAAGATCGTAAATGACCTTATTGCTCTTTGCATTGTCACAGGGACATGTGGAACTATTTGGACGTCATCATTGAAATTATTTACATCTTAACAGTTATCCTTCGAATCACGACCATCGCCCGTGGTGGAGTTCCTTACAACAACCGGTTGTTGGAGATTAGCAATTACCTTTACGGTATTAACACCTTATTGATGGTTCTTCGTGTTTCTAGTATTCTCGAACTGAATCAAGTTGCGGGTCCATTGCAATTGGCCTTAAACCGTATGCTGGGAGATCTGCTGATCATTCTCAGTCAGTTTTTTTTCGTCATCGTGGGATTTTCCTTAGCTATCACGAAGAGTTACAATGCTGAGAGGTCATATTTACGTCCACATAGCAACCATTCTGGAACACGTGTGGGAAAATCTGTGGGGTGAGTGTTTTGATCCATATGCTCCTTTTATATTGTTAGTTTAACAAAGATTTCTTGCCAAGGACGAACAAAGGGAAAAGGTAACTAACCCTTATTTTTCATGGGAAAACTCTTACGTAACTTTTGCACCTTATTTATTATTATTTTGCCACACACAATGAATTACAAGCAGAATAAAAGCGATAATAAATAGGTTAATTAACATTAAATTTAAAATTTGTACATTACTTGGGAGGAGTGACTGTGGCGGGGAAATCTCCGAGAACCCGAGCATATGGGGAATAGAGATTTCCCCCCACGGGCAATTTAAATACTAGGCGGCATTTTAAGAAATAAAGAAAAAGGTCGTTTATTTAAGTATATAAGTGTGTTTAGAGGAAAATATAGATATAAGGTGTTAAGGTATTTAGGTTGCATTCTGTCTGACCCTTAAAAATGGTTTGATCACTAGTTTAAGGGGTAATTGTACATCGTCTTCCTCAAGACTACCACGTTTTGATTCAGAGGACGTCTTTGAGCGTGTTGCCGCTATGATTATGCAAATTTGCCTCATGAGTAGTGTAAACAAGAAGCTTGAGAAAGCTTAATCCGAGTGAGATCCAAATAAACAACAATTTTCCACGGTCTATACTCTTATGACCACAGAAAGGACGTCAAAATGTTCAAAACTCAAGTGGAACCACGGACTGACAGGGAAGAGTTTTCACTGCAAAGTTTTCAACTGTTAAAACATTTCTTTGGTCCAACGACTGGGAGGGAAAAACACAATACTAAAATCTCGGAAGGGTCAGGCCAATGTTGTCAAGTTTATCATAGGCCGTAGAAAAAATCGCTCCAAACGCTGTAGATTATGGTTTTCTTCCACTTTAAAGAATAAATATATGTATTCTCTTGTTGCTTAAACGCCATTTGGGTCCATCAGCGAGTGTATCTTCCAAATGTTAGAGTAGTTTACACAATAGGGTTGTAGAATTCTTAGGACTAACGCTTCTTTTGCGGCCTTTCTTCAGCTTTGTGAGGACATGTGAACTGCTCATCTGGTCTGCACTTGAAAAAACGGAATTAAAGGAATGGAAATCCGTCACCAAAAATACAACTGTATTTGTAAATGTCCTGTTTTGTATTTTTCTCATTGTGACCGTCATCATGCTGGTCAATGTGCTGGTGGCCTTGCTGACAAAAACATACGACAATATAACGGTGATTTAGATACTAATATCACAGAAAGAGTAGTAGTTAAGTAAGTTAGCGCTTTATATAGGGCTTGCTTAATACAGTGTTTGCGTATAACCACCCGCAGTCGGAATCCTTCTGCGGGAACAGCAGAGCCGGGGGAGATGAGGGTGCTTTAGCCTCCCCCCCTCCCCCAATTTGTTTCCGCCAAAAGAAAGATTTACCGAGAGAGGTAAGTCTCCTCTGCTCACTAGTCAGCCATCTCTCCCAGCCTCTTCAAAAATCTTCCTCCATTCCTTTTTAGGTTTTTGTTTCCTTGCACAAATTAGGGCTTTGGTTACCGAAACTACGCTGGGATTACTCACTTTAAATAAGAAAGACAAAAGAAAGCTGATTTCAGTGGACGTTGCCGTAAAATGAAGCCATCTTGAAAGTGACCTACTTTAGCAGCTGTAAAATCCGCACATTTTAACAACAACGACCAAAAATAAAAATACGAATGGGCATTGAAGTAGGACTACAATCTTAAAACAAAGAGCATAAAATGTAAATTATCAGACAGAAGATACCCTTTTCTTTAGATCATACACTCTCCTCTATCTGCATAATTCTTCATTTCACACTTAGCACTGTATGACATATACTTAGGTTACGTTTGATTGGAAAATCCGGATTAGATTTTGAAATCCGGATTTTGCAATCGAACGCGAAATCCAAAAACAGATTTCACCTCCGAGAAATCTGTCCTCAGGGTGCATTTCAATTAAGGAATCCAAATCCGTTAGATTGGGAAATCCGAAAAAGGATTTGCAAAACTGTTCTCGTGAACAGCGGTCATCTTTTTGCTAATTATGCGTGCGCGTGCAAACAGCTGTTGTTAAGGACAGTTTTTCAAATACTTTTTCGGATTTCCCAATCGAACGGTAAAAATAAAAATCCAAAAACAGAAAACTCAGCGTTGAAATCCGTCTTCGGATTTCGCGTTCGATTGCAAATCCGTAATCGGGATTTTAAAATCTAAGTCCAGATTTTCCAATTGAACGCACCCTTATTGTTAATCATCCTTTGCCCTCTCTTGTCTTAACTAGAATACCGTAAATGATCTAATAAACACCTACTCTCAAATAAAGGCCTCTTATCTAATAAACGCCCCCCTTACGCTGTTAATTTTGTGTTAAACGCCCCTCTCTAATAAACGCCCCCTGTCTAATAAATGCCCCCCCCCCCGGTGAAAATTGCCCCAAAATACTAAGAAATGGCGAAATAGAGCAAAATAAATCAATTTATTAATTTCATTTCCTGATTAACATCGGTTTGTGTATTATGTCATATTCAATTTCAAGTTTAAAGTAAGGATA